GCGATTAAGCGGTTCGATGCGGGTTCCGCGTCGTCTGCCCGTCCGATCCTGCTTTCTTCTGTCGACTGGTTCTGCCGTACAACGCGCAAAGCTCTTGGGATCTGTAACCCTACGCCTGATGCAGGGCTCAGTATCAGCATGGCGATGCATCATGGCTGTTGCATGACGAAGACTGTAGCTGTGAAGAGCATGCCTGCGAGCTTCCACCGAACGAACAACAGCGAGATGATGCGAAATTGTGTGTCGAATCGCCGACCGAACAATCGCTCCAAACTTCCCTCTGTGGCCCATAACCCGTAACGTACCCATTACCTTCTCTTGCCAGATCTTCTGCGAGACAGAGATGGACGTTGTGTCGATGCGAAACAGCCGACGTATGTGATTGTAGTGCTCGCGTACTCGATGTCGATGGGCAAGGGAGATCGTAGTTCGTGAACCTTGGGCCGTAGGACGCTTGTGCAGACAAGGAAGAAGACCCGATTGGCATTTCTTGGAGGTTTGGCGATGCCAGCATGTCTTCGGCCAACACGTTTGTGGTGAGCGACGGAGAGAGGTCTCGCTCGAATATGACCTAGAGCTTTGGTAAAGGTTACAGTGCGAGGCCGAACTCCGGAGGGTCAGCATAGTCAGAGCTATACCACCGCTTCGCCAACGGAGGTTGGTGGATAGCTGCAGCCAAAGGTGGAAGCCGACAACGCTACCCGAGTACTCAAGTACCCTGTGGCTGGTAGTTGTTTGTCCTGCATGCCTCTCGTTGAAGGCGTTGTAGCTTCCTACGTCGAGGGAGATGTTCATTCGGAGCTTGGCCAAGCGAGTGGTCTCTTCCGCGGAGGTCTCAAATCCGGAACAGCAAGAGTGCCGAGGGGGCAGAGTGGCCGCAGGTATAGAGGGAATCGAGGTGGGATCGCGAGCGTTCGAGGGGTGGGTAAGTCATCCGACGCGAGCTGCATGCAAGGTGGGCGCCGCTTGGAGACACCTCCGAAGCTTGTTCGAGGCTCGATGTCCATGGAGCTGTAAACCTGGCAACAGAAGTGAAGTGAGCAAACAAGCCAGTGTTACTTTGCCTTTACCAAGCTCCCTAGAGAAGTTGTCTCGAGGCAGGTTGGGTATGGGAGAACGACGCGGACTGCCGGGTGAGGGGGAGCGTCGCGTTGAAGCACGCCAGCTCGATCCAAAGCATCCCTTCCTGGTATCATATCACCATTTGCCTTCCTGAAGGTGCCACTATAGGCGAGCGGCAAGCTGCGAGCTGCGAGTCGCGGTCGAGGTCGTCGTCAAGGGTGTACGGCGGGTAGGACGATGTCTTGCTGAGGAGCCATCTCAGCGGCTGAGGCGCTGGGCGGACTCGGAAGACATATGCATCTCAGAGGCTCGAGTCTTCATCTCCATATCGTATAGCGAACGCGTCGTAGCGATGTGGAGCCGATTTCGTGGAGCTGGTGGTTGGTGGCGAGTTGGTGTGTGGGCTGAGGCGAGAAATTCAGGAGGGAGGCGCGATGGTGATGCAGGTCCATGCGGACATGGCGGACTCCAGGAGCAAGAACAGCCGCACCGTGCACACAGCAGCTGGCAAGTAACGACTCCGTCGTCGACGTGTATTGCACAGAGCTACTGCATCGATGCAAGTCCGCACGTCAGAGCAGAGAGAGTCGGGCCGAATCCTTCGCCCAGAACTTAGCGAAGCCAGCCCCGCGGAGACACCACGCCGTGGAGCGACTGCAAGACGACAGCACTGAAGGGATGCACTGCATCAGAAAGGTTGAGAGGAGCAGCCTCCTCATCGTGGCAAGAGCTACTGGGTGTACCGCATCTGTAATCGGGCTCAGGAGGAAATGCATACCATGTAGGATAGATGCAGGCAAGTCAACCCTACCTCAGCCCTACTACAATACAGACAGATGCTAACAATCAAGCAGATAGTTCCTTAGATACAGCACTATATTCGTAGACCCAAAATATACCATCTGTTGACCTTCCAATGCTGTGCACCTGCCTGCCTTGTGGACGAGATTCTGCCAAGGACAGGAACCGATGGGGCATCGTCCCTGCTGAACGCCCTCCTAGCGCCAGAAACTCTAATTGCACCTCTGCCCACTCCCTCCACACCCCTCTTGTTTACTGACCACCCCTGCCTCAACTTCCTCTGCGACTTTCGCCAAGCACGAACCTCCTTCCCATTGCCACAACTAATGCAGAAGAGCTTCTCGTACGCGTCATTACGCTTCAGATCCCCTGGATATCCTCCTCAGCGACGTAGCGCGTCGCCTGCCTCCATCGCCATGCATAGTCATCGCCGGCGCGACGAGCCATTTCCGCAACTGCGTCTGAATTTCCTGGCAAGCGCGATGGCAGCTCTAAATGGTAACAGGCTATGCACCTCCGCTTGATCTCCGTCAGGATATCCTTTGCAGTCTGACCCTCGATGAGGCCCGTTGTCGTTGCGACATCAAGCACGCAGACAAACATCGCACACTGATGACCTACAGCGCTGCAGCGACCACACCGCTTCGCAGAAACACGATCTGGCCGCCCACCTCTCCTTCGCCGACTCTCAATCGTTACGCTCGACTCTGTCGCTCGAGCTCGCACTGCCTGCGTAATGACGGTACAGCTTCGACAAAACAATCAGCAGTATGCTTCCGCTGTAAGCTGTCAACGTTTCCGTGTAGGCTGTATCAACATCAAAATCGCGCCTACCGTCTGAGTGTAACCGCACCTCTGGACTCCGCACCAATCTTGATGGCCTTCCTTCCCATTCATAAACCCGTGCTTCGGGGTGGCTATCGACTGCCTAGGAAGTCGAGCAGAGTCTCAGACAGCTGTACAAACCCACAAAGGCGTCTATCTAGCATGCCAGCGCGAGTCGTCGATATTGCGATTATCAGGTCCAAAGTTCAAGTATCTGGCAAGGCTCATGTACATATTCCCTCACAGAGCTTTCGCCTTCCAGTTCGGAAACAATACCAGCTGGTAAACCCAGCCGGCAGTATGTAAAAGCTTCTATCGCGCGCGCCCATCATCTTTGGACCTTTTTCCGGATAGTCAACAACATCAAACCCTCGGCTACGGAGCCTAGCATCGATACCTATCCTGCCCTTCCCATTCGGTTCGGGCTGATGTCCACGGTTCAATATCTTGCCATTCGGTTTGCATTTAGTATCTAGATACCCTAGCGGTAGGTTTCTTCCGCTTGCCGAACAAAAGGTAAGGTGCACTGATGTGAGAGGTTCTCTTACACTGTCAAGTCTAAGTCCGGGTATGTCATCTTCGTTATATTGTGGGTTTGCCATATCATCACTTCCACACACTTTCCTGTCTACAACTCGGCCTTCGATCTACCAGAAGGTTTCTTGCTCTTTCTCTTGAACACATTTCACAAGCCATTGCAACCAGCCATTACACTCTGGTACTGTCAGCTTGTTCAGGCATCTCGTTCACAACATGATCGAGCGGAACAGGTACAGTGCTAGTCAGGCTTTTCTTACGAACAATACTAAAAGAGATGGGATCCAAAAAAGGCTTCTTCCGGACTCAACATTCTAGAACTACATACCACTAGCACAGGACCCGCAACGTGGGCACAGTGAATACCAACGGCCCGTAGCCACCACAATAGGCAACGTATATCCACGGCGAGACATACAATACAATACGACTTTCTGATTGTAGTCAGCTCATCGACGCCGACTATCGGCCTTTACCGCCAGTTTGCCACCCTGATTCCCACGTCACCAAGGGTTTGAAGCGCGGGGTAGGACATGAACATGAACCTTTGCTCACGTGTTGTCGCTCACCCAGGCTTCGAGACACCTCAGTCCGCGCCGTTACCGCTTATCTCAAGCGTCACTGAGACTTGTGGGTATATATATATACCTTCAACTTACCTCGACATAACTTTTCCTCAACCACAAAGGCTCTTGCGACCACAACATCAGAACTTCAAAAGCAAGACGTCGCTCTCTCACCCGGACATCCTCGCTTATACCGTTCAGCAAGTCAACTGCCTGCCCAACCAACGTTGACAATTGAAAGTCTGCGAAGAGTATTCTTATCTTCCGACGCAGTACCTTGCAGTGCCTTTGCAACTTGATCGGAATCCGTGTGGCCGTCCGATTTTCCGACACATCAATTGCTATCTTGAACCCGAACCGAATTACATCAACCAACTTTCAACTGCCGACTGATCGAGAGGAACGTGGTTGTGGTCGCTATACGCCATCGCCGTCTCAACTGCTTTGGGTCATCTATGGTGCCTTAGCGTCCTACCCTGTGGCTCAACTGTACGCCGTCAGCCACCGCACCCGCGAACCTTTCTTCGTCCCAACCAAACAGGAGACGGCAAAGAAGACATATAGACTGCTACGGTTAGGAAGTTCAGAGTGAACATTCTTCCGGCGTCTCCCGTGCTTCCCGCCGTCTAGTCCTGTTTGCGAAGAGGAAGGGGTGTGTTGCTGTGGTCTTGGCTCAGCGTGCGTTGAGCACGTCCGCCCTACTAGCCAGTTCGTCGCCTACGTAACTGGGCTGCCCGGGAGCTCGATAACGCTAGCGCCTCGTCTGCCTCGTCTGCCTCCCCTAAGTCCCTCCCACAGCTGGTCCGTCTTTACCGCACCACCTGTAAACACCGCCCCCTACACATCTCCAAAAGGTACGTACCCCCAACAGCTTAGCAGCTGCTTCCCCTGCACCACTTCTTTCCTTCGCCCACTTCAGCAGCACTCTGGTAGCTTTGTTGTGGCGCTACAGCTTGCGTTGTTGTCTCTCCTCCGCTCTCCGCCCCGCACACAACACGCCCACTCTGGTGTACACATTGCGCCTTTGCTTGACCTCTTGCTAATTTCGACGCAGAGAGCGCTTTGGTTCTTGATCCATTGCTCCGACTTGCACGTAAGCTACTGGATATCATGTCTCGCTTCCACAACAACAAGCTAAACACGGTTAGCCTCTTTGACGAGGACCCAGCCACGCCCACTCATAAACCCTCTCGCAAGCGTGGTCGTAACATGACCGCGCCTGAGTGCCATTCTCGCAACCTCCTGCAGCACGACGGCCCTATCGAGACCTATCGCGGCCCAGAAGTCGATAACTCCTACGTTCATTACGGCTACGAGCAAGATATGTACTCACGCGGTGAATATCACGCTATGCGCGGACATGTTGCTCCCGCTCCAGCTCCGGTGAACAACACGGGTTCAGTGAGTTATACCCCCACATATGACAGCGATTACGCCGAGAGCGATCGCGAGGACCACCCCCCATCCAAGATCCCAAAGATCAACAAGGATGGCGCGCCCCGCAAGCCACGCCAGCCTCGTCCCAAGCTGCTCAAGTGGAGTGACAACGATTGGAAGAATGTAGTCCTCGGTATCGTCTGGGCCTGTGGTGAGACTGGTGTTCAGATCCCGTTCGACCAGGCTGGCCAGGTTGTCGGCGAGAGCTGTACTGCTGGCGCACTTCAGCAGGCCATCTTGAAGTTGCGCGGCAAACAGATCGCCGAGGGCTACCAGATTCCATCGTTGAGGATGGCGTGGACGCGCAAGAACAAGCGTTCATCTTCTTTGTCGTCCACTGCTAACACCAACTCTCAGCCAAACGCTGGTCAGGACCCACTGACTCCTTCCCGTCCGTCCTTGATCGTGAAGCTAAAGGTCCTAGTGTCCAAATCCGGCCTTGTCAAGCATTCACCTGGATTCAACAAGGTCGGCGCTGATTGTGTTCACGAGGAGTCCAAGGAGAAAGATGAGATCCTCAACCATCTTCAAGATCAAAAGTCCGGCGAGCCTGATGATGACGTCTTCAAGTTTGACAACGACGGTGCCCAGGACAAGGATGGCTTCGTCGAATCCAAGATCAACGGCTCTGCTGTGAACAACTTCCCGTCCAACGGTAATGTGCCCAAGGATGGTCAAGTCTTCGGTGTCACCATCCCTCACGCGTCCCCTCCCGGCAAGTTTGGCGGATACGGTGGCGACATTGTCCCCCAACGTATGGCTAACCCGTACCACCACACCCGCGGCTCCCACTTCGAGGCATTTGACTTCGATGGAAATGACCGCGGTAGAGAGTTAAAGTCCGTTGATCTTGACTCTTTCGAGTTTGTCGACGAGGACAACGAGGCTCTTCTTAGGCACCCACGTAGTGCGTTCATCCCCGAGATGTCCCCTCTGTCGGGCCATGCTTACGAGAGTCCTTATAGTTTCTCTCGGGAGGAGGGTCAAGATGTTCGTGGCCACTCGCCTGTGTGGTCCGCGTCAGGACAGCGAGGAGCCCAAGGTTTCCTGGGCTTGGCTTGTTCGCCGCAAGATGGGCTACCGCCGCTAGAGGCCGGCCATGTCCCTGATCTGTTTTCTCACAACGTTTTCGCGAACTGCGGTATCGATCAGGGCCCATACGCCGACGTATTCATGGCCGAGGCTCATGATGGCTATGGTTTCAACGCGGGACATTCCAATTAAAAGCACCTCGCCTCGTCACCCGCCTTCACGCGAGTAAAGGTTACGTTTACACGACTGTAAGAACAACTACCGTCTCTCAAGACCGCTTTGCTAACCGTTGTTGCCAGTATGATGGACGGTTTCTTTATGATAGCACGATATTCACGGTTCACGGATTTTCATTTTGGCTGCTGGTTTTGCAGTCTGGATATGGTATGACACGACACGACTACATGAACACACTGGGTGTTTATCTTCTTCATGGGTCGATGTGACTACTTGGCTTGAGACATCTGCGTCGGCCTTGCTAGCAGTTGGCATAGTCTTTGCACTATATGATTGATGGATAGGACACCCGCTTCACGGATGAAAAGTTTAGGTACTTGAGTAATGGAAACTTGAATACCTCTATGATGACCTCAATGATGATGATGATGCTACTGCTACTGATGGTGATGATGTGAATGACCGAATGAGCGACATGAAGTCGCTCTGATACCTCACCGTCTACCCCAACAAATGTGGCAGTATCTTCCCACGCCGACTTCATCGCGCATTCCATGAACTGCAATAGCCGCCAATATCCGAAAAGCGTGTGACTCACGCGCTGGCTCAGAAGGGAAGGGCACGCGACGCACAAACAAACGCGAGAAGTCACGGTGAACGTGACGCGTCCACAACAATAACAACGGGTGACGGTGACTGGGGATTTAGGCAACCGCGAAAAGACTTCTCCACGCGGACGAGGAATGATGTTCCAGGCAGGCATGTAGTGTTTGCATGCTTTGATAGGTCTTCCGAGTGGGAAGTGAGGTGGTATGGCGAGATGTTCGCCATGTGTGAATGGAATGTCGTTATTGTAGCAACGAAGAACTCCATCAATGACGCAAATCGCCGTCTCAACCATCAAAGGCCTTCCCTATTCTTCTTTGCTTCACACTCGGATTTTCTAATCTACTCACCTGCTGGCTGGCATTCTCATGATCATCGCACGACATCACAGTAACGCCATTGAACCCATTGAGACTTTCCTTTCTTGAACTCAACACCGAGCTGACTGTCTCGCTGATCGCCGCAAACTACCAGCCTCTGTCGCATCGTTCAACTCAATACACATCGCATTCGAACAACTTTGTTCCCCACAGTTCCCAAAAGAGATAGTATGGACCCGAGGTTCTGGCCTGGAGGGATGGGCAGGGGTATCGGGGCCGGCATGTCTGGCTTGGGAAGAGGTATGCCCATGCCCGGCATGGGCATACCAAGCATGCAACAACCGTTCTACCCACCGCAAGGATTCAAGCACCCGTATCTTCAACAACAACAAGCACAAGCACATGCACAAGCCCAAGCCCAAGCACAACAGCAGCAACAGTATCAAGAAGCATATGCACAAGCACAAGCACAAGCGCAACAACAGCAGCAAGCTTCTCCATCCCCACTCGCAACCCCACCACCACCCAAAGATTCCAAATACCCCCGCTTCGTCAACCCCTTCCAGGACGAGAAGCCGCAAGGGTCTTACGGTAAGCGCGAGTACGTACCGGGGCAGGAGGCTATACGAATTCCGTCTGAGCATCGAGGTGACGATCCGTGGACTAATTGGCATATGATGCAGGCAAGAAGACAGTTGCAAGAGATGAGGAGGAGCTGGTGAGGTAGGAAGGGGAGGACGATGAAGTTGGGTCAGTAGATCAAGTAGTGTTGTCGAAGTGATGCAATGGCGAACAATCCATTGTTGGCCATTGTCAGCCTGAAAGCATCAAATACGATGCACCATTACATCCTCCCCTCCTCCGTATCTATCATGCTTTCGCATATACCATCCCTCATCCATCCATACACCCTCCTTCTCTTATCCCCAGTTGTGCCCATGTCCCCTCGTGCTTCCTACACCCCAAGCCTAGGTCTCAATCTTGGGCACTGCGACAGCCTCATCGTGCTGCACACTCCTCTTCCTCTCCTGGTTCTGCGCCACCTCGCCCAGATTTATGTCGTGTCCACCTTTGGGATCGATCTCGGCGAATTGGACAGCAGGACGGAACTCCTGCGACTTCCACGCTTTGCTGACGATGCCGTAGAGTTCGTCGACTTGTTCGAGACTGAGACCCTTGGTCTCGTAGATCATGAACCAGCTGTGGGGGGAGACGTGTCAGCGTTTGTCACGCAGATGTCGGTGGTTGGGTAGGATGGTGTAGAGGGAAAAAGGACTTACACAAAGGCGATGCAGACGAAACAGAATGAACCCCACACGAAGAAGACCTTAGATGCCAGGTTTGCGTGGTCTTCGTCGACCATGTACGGGGTTGAGTAGGCAATTGCCCAGTTGAGCAACCTGGAATATGGCGTTAGTCTTTTTCGATACCATGATCATGGTCTGTGAACATACCAGTTGGATGCTGTGGTCATGGAAAGACACTTGGCGCGTGCCTTCAACGGGTACAGCTCGCCGGTCACAACCCAAGCAACTGGACCCCAGGAGCTGGCGAAGAAGAAGATGTAGATGCACACAAAGGCAATGGCAGCGCGTTGAGCTGCGAGATCGGATGTGCCGGCTACCGTTCCTGTGATGGCGACGATGTACTGGCACACGCACATGCCGATCGCTCCGAGGAGAAGAAGGTTGCGTCGACCGAGGCGTTCAACCATGTAGAGACCCGCTAGAAATCCGAAAGTCAGTATTGTCTCCTTCCAGGTTGGAGACGAAAGGCTTACGAAATGTGGATGCGACGTTGACGCAGTTGGTGATGACCTGGATGATGAAGGGGTCTTGGAAACCGGCGTTCTGAAAGTATTGGGTACCGTAATCTGGACATATTAGAGGGAGCCACAAACGTGCGTGGATTAGAGAACATACAGAAGATGAAGTTTACACCAGTAAGCTGTTGCAGCGACTGCAGTAGGCATCCAGTCACGAGACGCTTGCCCAGCGTTCCCTTGAAGCAGTCGGCGTATGTAGACTTTCCCAACGACATCTCGTAAAGATGGTTGGCCTGGACCTCGTTCAGTTCCTCGACGATGGCTGGGTGATCGACCGGTAGACGGCGTAGCTTGCCGAGACTGTCGGCAGCCTTCTCATATCGGTCCATCTTGATGAGATATCTCGGCGTCTCTGGCAAGAAGAACAGTCTAGCGACAAGTTAGCAGCTGCCATCGTCTAGTTGAGATCAACGCGCTTACCCGCCGACAAGAACGATAGACCAGAGGAATTGCACCGCGATTGGAATACGGTATGATCCAGAGTCATTGCGGTCCTTGGTCGAATTGTTTACAATGGCCGCGAGTAGCAATCCAATTGTGATAGCAAGCTGATAAGCTCCTACAATCGTTCCGCGAATCCATTTCGGCGCGGTCTCACTCTGGTACATGGGAACTGTCGTCTTGTTAGCTTTGCTGCAAGCGAGCCAGATGCCCCGCAGAGCCTCATCGATGCGGGGCGAGGGGCGTCAGCCACCATTGACGATCAGCCCCACGATGCCGGGAAGCGGAGAACAACGAGGAAAGAGTTGACTTACTCAGAGCTGAGATGAGACCAACACCGTAACCGGCGAAGAAACGACCGGCAATGAACAATGGTTGCGCTGTCGCGGCCGTCTGCAGAATAACACCGAGGTTGAAGACGACACCGGCAGAAACCATCAAACCGAGGCGACGACCAAGTAGATCACCAAATGGCGCAGCCGTCAAAGCACCGAAGAAGGTACCAGCTGAGAGAATGGAGACGATCAGAGAGTCTTGAGCTGCTGTGATGCTGAGATCTGGTTCGGTGGAGAATTCCTTCTTCCAGTAGTCCATGGCAATAATGCCAGAAATGGTACCTGTGTCATATCTAGGGAGATCAGAAGGTACGCGTGATACGTCAACGAAGTGTAGGCTCACCCGAAGAGGACACCACCAAAAGCGACGAATAGACCGATTACAATGGCAGGCCTTGGAAAGAGTTAGGTGTGTGCATGGTGTTGTGTCCAGTGAAGCTTACCATGCCTTACCAGCTGTGTCTGGCGGGGGCTTGAGCATGAAACCCATGATGGCAAAGTTCGATTTGACTTCTTAGAGATGGCAATTGGCGATGTCGCGAAACTCGAGACGCGTAGTCAGGCCGTTTGACGGAGCGCGCAGTCACTCTTTATCTCAGGATGCAAGCTCCGAGCATCTCTCCATCCAGCTCGCGATCCCGACAAACCCTTGTCCCAAGCCGCTGCACCTCAGTGCCATATCACAAGTTGCTAATCCCAGTCGGTTTCCCAAGCCAACCATTCTTGCATGGTATGCCCCGCATCATAACATGGAGCGTACCGCAGTTGGTTATTACCCCGTACTCGGCAGGCTGACCTCCCTCACACCACTTACGTCGGAGGCTGGTGACAAGACAGCGATCATAGAAGCCTGTCGCGATCGTCCAAGCAGCACGTTCGTCACGGGAACGAACAAAGACTGTCGAAGTCGTGGCTCAATCAGACGATGTTCACGGGCAAAGCATCATGCCAATTCTCCCCTTCCGGCACGATCGCGCGCCAGGACAAAATCATCACACTGGAAATGCCGCACTTCCTGCAAGCAAGGCGACGCATCCTTCCAGAAGTTTGCCGCTCCCAATGATCGCGTCAACCTTTCGGCATGTCAGAAAAAGGATGGGCCGATTGTCTCCTTGCAACCCCAGGAACTCCAGAGTGGAGACTCGTCGGTATGATTCTCGGAGCGCTGAACATTGGCAGAGAAATGTTTTCCCCGCGCAACACCAAGATGACCACAGCGAAGATGAGAGCGCTGCACGTCGGATGCAGCGGCATGTTTTCTTGTCGTCCTTTCAAAAGGGGCCCTGGAATATGTGCTCGTGACAGTTGTTGTTCTCTTGTATAGAAGTTGCTGCACAATCTCTTGAGCCAATAAGCCTTCGCTTCCTTTCGCTTCCCTTCGATGTTCAGTGCTCGGCATTGCTTGGACCGACGCGATGACTCGGGGACGCGTGCTTACGGCGCAGCATCTGCATCGCGATGTCGATGATGAGTGGCCGACGGAGCGGT